CACCAGCATCCTCCAGCTCAGTAGTGCTGTGCTCCTGCACCACCAGGCAGCCAGGACATCATCATCTTGCTTTACAGCTGAAAACGGCTGTGGTTTTCATCCTGTAAACTACTGCTTTTGGTCATGGTGAACCCTGTGTGTTGTTTGGGTTTGGGTTTTTTTGTTGGCTTTTTTTTTTTTCTAAACAGTACATACTCCTGGAGGAGCCTATAAAAGGTCTTGCTGTTGCAGTCATTGAGAAGGACACGCTGAACTGAACCAGACTGTAATCTGCAAAGATACCTAGGTGCATGGTCTCTCCTGGCTTGGTCAAGCTCATCATACTAATTCATTGTTAGACACTACTAAAATACCCATCCATAGCACTGAGATCTTAAATCAAGCTGAGGACTGTGCCCCAACAGAGCAACAGAGCTTCAATTGCTACATGCAGCTGTGCAAAAGCCAGGTAATACCTAACTACGTCAGTGTACGGCTCCTTGCGGGGAGGCCACACGAGGAACCAGGCAGGGCTCTGCCTCAGGAGGGCTGTTTTCAGGGTGGGGTCCTGTCCCTGAAACCCTTGGCTCCAATTATACCTTTGAGTTACAGGATGCCACCAAGGCCAAATGAATCCTGCTGCAGGGCTTGGGACTCCCTCCCTACAGCAGCCCTGGTCCACACCATTACATTTGGTGAAGTTTTTCCAAGATGCTCTTCTCATAATAGGCTTATTTTCTTATTTAGGAAAATAATTATTTTCCTAATTTTATTTGACAGCATGGTTTTATCCAATTCTTCCCTTCACAGAAACTACGACAGGGATTATGAAATTTGGGAACCAACTCATAATATACTTACATAATTAAATTATTATTAATTCATTAGGATTAATGCGGAGATCATGCTTAGCATAAGAGCAACACCTTTTGGAGTACGTTATCCAGAATATTTTTTCAAATTATTTCCCCTCCACGTTAGTCTTAAATATGCAGAATCTTAAATTAAGTGAAGTAACTGTTGCACTGTTCTGAGAGCAAATGTAGTTCTGCAGACAGTCATGCCTCTCCTAACCAAAGTGCATTCTTCAAATTTTGCACGTCAGAATTCTTGCGAATATGTGAAAGCCTCAACTTTCATCAAAAACACCATTCACTTTTATAAAAAGCAAAACCAAACTCTCAAAGTTTTAGAAAACAATTTAAATTCATGACCCAAGCACATACCAAAAATCCCCTTAAAATTGAAGAAGTAGATATAAGAATGCAAAATACAAAATATATCAATAAAAGCCACTCTCACAATTCAGTGTGTGGGGAAAACAACATAAACCAACAAAAACCTTCAGAAGAAAAACTGCATTTGAATCACAAGAGAAAATGAACTTGCTTGCACTTCAGCCACATAAAAGTTTTGGCATTGAAGAATTAATAATTGTCTCAGTACTTATTGCATGAAGCAAAAAAACAACTCAGAGAAGAGAGGGGGAATTAATTGTACTTCAAGTAGAGATGGCCTGCAGGGATGGCCCGCTGTAGTGAGAAAGGCCAAAGGGATGCTGGAACAAAGACCCCAATACAAAAAGCTTTCCTCTGCTCCTGTGCCCCAGTTTTCAGTAAGTCCTGCTGCATGTGTCTGTTCTGTCCTGCTGCAGTCAGTGCTGGGAAAAAGAAATAACACAGCAACAAAGGCTGTTATCAACATCACCAGAAATGGAGAGTAAAGGACAAAATAAGACTTGCTCTTTATGAGCCAGCTTTCCTAAGTGATGCTGCTCAGGAGCTTCAGGTAGCTGCTTTCCGATGGGGACGGAGAATGAAAGCTCAAACCTCCCACAACTTAGATGCAACTTTCTACAGAAAGCAATGTGTAATTACTATCCATTTGCTTAATTTCATTTCTGTAATTAGCACATACAAATAGCTGCAGTGTATTGCATCCATGACCCATCTAGTCCAAGATCCCGTCTCAAGCTGTGGTCTGTAACTGATGCCCAAGAAAAGTGTGTACACAGCAGGGCAAGTGGGCAATGATGCCCAGTTTACCCTCCCAGCTCCAGCATATACCAGTTAAGGGACTGCCAAAACTGGAGACTACATCAAAACCATCATGTTCAATAATCTCTGATAAACCTCACTCCATAGGTTAGACGAGCTGGTTTGTATGAATCCCTGTACAACTGTGAACCACCCTGATATATTTTCCTACTGTAAAAACAGTTGAGCAAAATTCCTTAGACAGAAATATCAGGCAAGCTTGGCATTAAATAAACTTAGGAAAATTCAGTCTGGATACAGTTAAATAAATACATCAAAATGCATGTATCTCTGCTAAACCCCACAGTCTTTAATCAAAATTCCCACCGAAGTGAGCCGCGAAAGGCAAGTTGTTGCCAAAGTTCATCGTGAGAACCACGGGATGAGAAGCAAAGCTCTGTCAAAAATAAGAAATTGTCAAGAAGAGCGAGCAGGAGGAGTGGATCGGTTCTCATCATGACAATCTCGGGATGCCTTGAAGTCAAGGGAACTCAGAGAGCCACTTAAGCTGGTGCTCAGGACTCTGCTGACCTGAGGCCTGAACAGTTATTACTTTTATCACACAGAAATATGAATTCCCTTGGAAACAGGAAAAAAAAAATAAGAAAAGGGAGAGGAAGGACAGTAGCATGTACTGTCACAGTCTTACAGAAGTAGTATAGACATCATTGTTCTGCAGAGTTCACAGAGAGAGTTTAAACAGGCAGAGGGACACACTTAGATTTTTACTTAATGATTTAACATGCTGGTATTTAGCTACAGCTACACCCATAACTCCTGCACTTGTGCAAGCTCCAGAAACAGCCAGTCTGTACAGACATACCACCAAAGTAGCTAAGTCACCCATCAAGAAAGTCTAACTACAGCAACCCCAAAAGGTTTGAAACCCCAAGCCAACACCTCGAGCCACAGACATGTGCCCATGCCACAGCAAGGTTTGTATTCCATAGTCACAGCCATCAGTACCTGGGCTTGCAAATTGAAAGGCATTTCAATCACCTCCTACACCTAAGGCCATGAACACAACCATGGTGTGAACACAACCCAAGTGGCCCACAGGTTGGGCTGGGAAAGGAACAATCATAACAGCATGAAAAGCATTAACATCTTCACATTTCTACAACTGGATGGACAGCAAAGGAGTGCACCCTGTCCACAGCCCCAGCTAGACCCAGACCCACCTCCTACACAAACTCACTGCATTTTAGAAGCAGGTTTAGACAAACAAAAGCCTTTCTCCTTCAAATGGAAGTCCCCTAAGAAATCATCCCACAAGACCAAGAAACAAAATCCTGAAGTGTTCAAACCAATTTACTTCCAATCATGGTAACTAAGTAAAACAGAAAAATTCATACCATACCTGCTCCAAAGGCAAAAAAGAAGCTCTTATCTGTGTTCTCTCTTAAAAGTGCCATCACTCTCTTCCCCATCCTCTCATTCCTCTTGTAGATGAGCTCCTGTCTGAAGTAGTTGTCTATCTCCTGAGCCGTCACCTGCTCATGGGGTGGGAGTGTTGTGTTGATGAAGTTAGGGACCTGAAATGGAGAGGAGACTGTAGTTCAGGTGACAGTGGTTAAGTAATCCCCAAAACACTGGATATTTTAATCTAGCCTTATTTAAATGACCTGAGAATCACTAACATACAAAAAAATCCCCAAGAAACCAAAATCACCCACTACTAGACGATGAGAGCTTGTGATGTTGCTGGGATCTCTGCAAAGAAAAAACAAATCACCAACCAACACACTTTTTTTTTTTTTTAAAGTGAAACTTTAGTATTTTACTAAATGAAACTTAAGTTCATTTTGACTTTTCCCTGTTTCTACAGCAGAATGTGGTTTTACATGTTACACTTAAGTGGGTTACTAAACCCTTTACGCTCTGCTTGTTCAACACAGTTCACTGGCTATTTAATACCAGAAGAAGTCTTGTAATCTGTTCTAAGCCAAGGTTACCAAGAACTTGAGTGAGGACTGCAAGATCTGGCTTTGGTCCTTTTTAATAACCTAACAGTTAAAAAACTAGGAAAGGTTAGCAAATCCAGACATAGGAAGATGTAAAAAGGGTAAACCCCCTCACCTTTCCTGCAGCTTTAGATGCTATTAGGTCTCACCAGAGAAGACCGTGCATTGCAACACATAAATCCCTGGAACATTCCTGATATTTCTGAGGAAGGGAGTTCCACAAGAACTGCTCCTTCAGTCCCTGTTTTTGTGAGGAGAGGTGTTCATAGGCACAGAAGAAAGGTTGAAACCCCAAGGAATGTTCTAGTCAGGGCAGCAGACCCAGGAATGAGCCAAGACCCAAGCTATTATGGACAGACAAGCCAGAAGTCTCTGATTATTAGGACAGACAACTTGTTTTGACACAGTGAGGGTCCAAGGTCTACCGCGAGAGTCCGGGAGCCTATGGGTCCTGCAGCAAGAAGTACTGTACGTGGGCAGTGTTTGATGACTGCTAACAGGACCCAGGCACCTTCTGGTGATTTTCTGTGCCTCACCACTGGAAAGCAGCTTAAGCTGCAAAACCCAGACTCAGATTTCTGAGTCCCTAGATACATGTAAAATTACCAGGATTACAGTGTTAATCTGAGTCAGTGGTAATGATATTGCATGCGCAGCCCATACGGGGAACAACCCTCACTCACTGTACTGAAATACTTGATGCAAAGACTTTGTTACATTGGTTAATTCTTTCTCTGGCTTTCTACTATACCAAATTCCTGTAGTAATTTCTAGAACTTGCCTTTAGTCTCTGATTTTCAGTCCACCTCTTACCCACTTGGACACATGATTTTATCACAACCATTTTTGTTTCTTCCCACCCTCTTCACTCATACTGCCTCTCCAAAAGCTTTCAGCAAGTCTTAGAGAAAGAACTGATTTCCATCTTCCCAGTGGCTCTCCTTAAAGCTTTTTCATTGCAGCCTCATCTACAGCTCTCCTAATCTGTGGAGGACCAAGCAGCAGAGATTTCTCACCATGCATTATGCAGAAGGCCAAGTCTAGACCTTGTTCTGGATTCCCACCAAAGGCTGTACCAAGCTGGGTGAGACAGAAATGGGCACCACATGTACTGAGCTGTGGAATCCCATGCGGCTGGAGTTAATACTGCTGCTGGTGGCAATGTGCCCCAGCCTATTGGGCTATGTGGACCAGCTGGACCTTCGATTTTCCAAACGACTTCTCAACCTGCTTTGCCAAATCACTGTACTTCTCACAGCATGTTCCTCCTTAAGGGTTCGGTTGCATTACCCTGAGTCATTCCTTCCTCTGGGCTTTCCAGCATGGCTTGGCTTCACCAGTGTACCTTGTGAACTCCTCAAAGCACACAAGTACTTTGCACCTTGTTCTCAGTTTAGCCCTTTGCCAGCACTCAATAAATAATAAGTCCCATTAGGCCAGACCTATTGGAGACACCAGTTTCCTGTTAATACATGAGGAAGCTGCCTCCATGTCTGGCAAGAACATGTGTTTGTCTCAAAGGAAGCAGGAGCAGCCTGCCAGCATCAGAGGGGTAAAATGCTGCTAGCTACTGCAGCAAAGGATCTAGTGGCTTCGATTCCTGGTGAAAGGCAGAGAGAGATTTTTATTATAGGAACAAAGTCTGAGGAATGAGGAGCCATTTTACACTTGCAGTAATCTCTGCAATGCAAAGCTGTAAATCAGTTGGTCTACACAGATATCACAAGCCTTTGTATCTCCTCTGTACTGAGGCTCTGTGTTTAATGGGTTGATATAGCTGAGCCAGGAGTTGGGGGAGCCTTCAGAGCCTGAAATGGAAGGTGAAAATTTTTGGGAACATCTGAAGACTTAACACCCACACAAGGGAAATCTCTCCTTCCTTGCTTTCGTCTGAAAGGAAGTGAAGGCTGGGAACTGATGGGACCTGGTCTTGAATGACCTGAGATGCTTTGGGGAAAGCAAAGTACGGCATTGCCTGTGAGGACAACCTGCTTTTACAAAAAGCAGGAGCAGAAAGGCTGGAGGACCAAATGGCTTTGTGCATCCCACTCCAACCAGCGGAAAGCTCTGACACTGGAGGTCTTGATAGCCCAAGGACTGAAGTTGTGTTCAGACCTTGATCAAGAGGACCTTTGCCAAGAAGGAAAGTGCCTTCCTTCAGCTTGTGCAAATCCACCATTTGCAATCCTACATCCACACTCAACCTGTTCCTCCTATTTATCTAACCTAAACCACAGTCCACGAAATGGAGCCACTTACTTGCCTTTTTTTTTCCTTCCCTTTCTTTCTTTCTCTTCTGTGAGAAAGAGTTTGTCAATGGCAGAGAGATAAATTTAAAACCAAGGACTGGGTTTTGTCAACATTTCTCATACTTGTCCAAGGAACAAGACAAAGGACGGCATCACCTCTAGAGGCACATCATGAGCTACAGGTCCTGGTGCACCTTGTGCATTCCTGTATTTCTAATGACTGCTCCATCACTGGCAAAAATAAAACACGCACGTATGTTTCTGCATGTGTGTGGCAGCAGACAGAAGATAAATGACTGAAGTAAGTATGCCCGTACACAGTAGTGTAACCACACCCTGAGTTACGACACTGGCCCCACTAATCACCTCTGCTCCTCTCCCTATCGCAGATCCTTTCCACAGTCGGTGACGTACACCATGCCTGGCTTCAAGGAGGCAGCTGCTCCTGTTGATTTAAGAAACCCTTTGGATTCCTAACCACCAGACAGGGATCAGGAAGTCAAGAAACAGTCACACGCAATTAGGAAGCTGTTAACTGTAGTCAGAATTTAAGGGTTTTTCTGGAAAAAAGAAAATCTCTTGTTTTAAGAGGACGGATTAAAAAATGCACCAGAGGGATGCACCTTCCCTCTTCCACTTTACTAAATATTTTTGTTTCCATTCAGTGTAAAAATTAATTTTAACATTTTAATGATGGGTATTTGTTGTTTTGAACTGAGAGTGAACGGATGAGACATTTGCTGTGCCAATGGGTGAGGGACTGACCATCTGATAATAGCGGAATTACTACTAGTAATAGATGAAATACTACTAGTATTTAAATCTATAGTGGGGTGGATGATGTGACTGTTGAAAAATCCTAACTTCTAATTTTTCTGTTCATCTAGGAGAGTAGCAGTTGGATCAGCAGAAGAACACAGTGCTACCCATCACCTGGGGTATGCTTACTTTGTAGTGGATACACATGACGGGATAAATAGATTCTTTCTGTCCAGTCTCTGCAAGCCATGCAGTTTTCTGAGAATCCAGCCAACTCATATATATGTGTGTATATACACATATATATATATATATATAAATATACACACACACTACATATTTTCCATGGAAACTCAGTAATGTATTTCATTCAGAGATGTTCAAAAGAAAAATACTTTGATTGACTGAATCAGCTAGAACTCTTCCTTTTATTTATTCCTACTTACTTTGCATTATGGCTCTCCTATGGACAGTATAGATGGACTCAGCCATTAGGTACACCCTGCATTTCTTAGTTAAGCTTTTGAGGTTAAAGGAAGGGAATATGAGAATAAAAAAGAAGTTAAGTCCCAGCCCTGCAGAAATTTTTTCCCCTCCACACTGTCTGTGTAATTTTACTTGAGCCAGTATCCCTGATGGAATATATGTGTGGGTAAAGCTCTGCACACACATCTGAGCTCACAGTGCTGTGGGATGCAGGCCATAATTCTTCATCTTTGAAGTCAGTGGGAGCTTTAGGAAGAAGAAAGAGGAAGGATTGTGGAGTGGTTATGACACTACCCTGAAAAAATGGTTCTCTTCCCACGGGCAATACAAATCTCTTGCATGATCACAAGCATGTCATTTGGGTTTAGACCTTCAAAGGAAACTCAGCACTTAACCTCTACTAAGTATCTTTGAAGCATTTGGCTTTATTCCTCCTGTCTCTCAAAAGCCCATCTGTAAAATGGGGACAGGGAGACTTTCTGACTTGATGTTACATACAAGGCACTGGCTGAATCTAGCTGTTGAAGGACCCAAAGGAAGATCCAAAGTCCAAGGTGATGCTCAGCAGTAACCTCTCTTTCCACAAATACTTTGTGGAAGGAGGTTAGTATTCTGCTACAATCATTAGCACTAATGATTGAGCTAACAACATATTTTAGCTTAGAAAAATGCATCAGCCGTACCTCACGATTTATGCTATACTGTCAGCTTTGTCTATAAAGACAGAGAGAAAGAAATGAAAAGAAATAGAAAAGAAGAGAAAAGCAAAGTCTTTTATCACATTTAGGGCTTACCGCCAAAGTTAATTTGAAAATTCATAAACACTGGACTATATTTAAGTACATTTTATAATTTACTATGTTTTAATATTTGGATGAATATTCTGGGCAGAGGCACTATGTCAGAGTTGTGAATATCGATCTGCAAATATTTTTTTTGGATACACATAAGCACCATCAACTTTGGTTATCATTTTTTTTTCCTGCTTTAGATCTACTGGCTACAGTGGAGCTTCTCCAGATTCACTCCAGTATCAAATCACAATCAGATGTGGAGTAAGAGTGTTACCGTTCCTAC